ATAATAATAATAATAATAATAATAATAATAATAATAATAATAATAATAATAATAATAATAATAATAATAATAATAATAATAATAATAATAATAATAATAATAATAATAATAATAATAATAATAATAATAATAATAATAATAATAATAATAATAATAATAATAATAATAATAATAATAATAATAATAATAATAATAATAATAATAATAATAATAATAATAATAATAATAATAATAATAATAATAATAATAATAATAGTAATAATAATAATAATATCTGATTTGAAAATTTCAAATCATATTATTAACAGTTCATTGAAAAAATCTTTTTTAAATACAATAACTAATATCAAAATTAAGATTTAAAATTATCGATTTATCCCGTTTATCCCATTAATAAATTTATAGTATGTTTTCTTATTTAATATGTTTAAAATATACGATATCAATATTACTACGATATACTACATCACGTAAGTAGAACATTATAGTATAGTATTTTAATTGCAGAAACAAACCGCAGCGTACAATCGACCTTCACTATTCATACATAAATAACGCTGCGATTCACGTCCACGTATACTTACTAAACCAAATGCAACCGATATGAATTCCAATATACCTTTAAAGAAAATTCTTTTTAAAAATTACGAAAAGAACTGATTATTTATTGATAAGCACAAATTACGTATTGATAAGTACTGTGATAATAACTGTATCTAAATAAAATTTTTGGAAATGAAAAAGAAAAATAAACAAAAACATGTTAAATCCGGAATACTTAACAGCAATCTGTCTGTGTTTTACGTTTATTCTACACTATCCGGTTACGTATGTCCTACGTTATCCGGTTAAGTATATTATTAGCTTGACTGTAACCCGGAATATAGCAACGAAAGAATAAACATTTAAATAATCAGTGATTCCAATTATTTAATCAATCCACAGCTATATAAGTTAAACATTAAATTGGACATAATAATATTCTAATAAGAGACAAAGAAAGGCATTAATAGTAGACAAGTAAATTTCAACTTGAAAAATTTGATTAATTTACTTTCTTCGAAAAAAAAAACCTATATACAAGTTATATAATTGTCACATCTTAAAAAAGACAGCAAAGAATTTAAAAGAAATATTAAAATTTAGCCATATTTTTGAAACAATTAAACAAGCAATGTTTTCATATTTTAAGCTATTAATTTTATCTTAATGAAAATAATTAAAAATGAGTAATTCATGTATTTCTTTATTCATGTAATGATGGGAAATTCCACAATATATCCAGCTTTTTTTTTAAATTTATTACAAGAGATAAGTTAAACTTTTGGAATATAATTATATCATAAAAGTAATCAATCACTCGTATCATTTGAAATGAAAATTCTTCAAATAATAATCACAAAAATCGATAATAATTGTTTGATTTAAATTATCGATGTTACATCATATCATTACTGTTAACAATCGATTAATATTTGGGAAAAGAAAAGAACATACTGAATCGACTATTTTCCAAACGTGTACCACGTACATATTCTGGCCTTGATAATTCATTTGTTTTAGCCTCATATTCGGCTGTACGTTTGTCTAAAATTTCCACCCATGTACCAGTACGACAGAAAAGAGCCCCTTCTCGATTAGGTCCATCGTGCCTGAAATTTTCTGCCAAATACTTATAAGTTTACTGATAATTTAATAGGTAATAAAAAAAAAAAATTATTTCTTCTTATCACTGGAAATATAAATTATTAACACTTCAAACGGATTTTTTTTTCATATTGCACAATTTTTTTTTCTTTTGGATTACATTGTAAATTATTTATAAATTAAGTTTTTATAAATTATTATTACTATTTTAATTACATTACAACCTTACATAAATCAGTTATCATTATTATCAATCGATATCCATTTGCATACTTTTGAATGTAGCAAAAAACAAAATCCATCAAATTCTAAATCTTCCTGTTCTCCAAAATTTTAATTGTCAGAAATAAACGATTAAATTTTTAAAAATTTTTCTTTTTGACGGAATTTTTTCTTCAAGTGTGGAATTTTCAAAAATATATTCATATACATATATTAAGGTACTAACCGATTCTACCTGACAGTAAAGTACAGATAATTATCATTTCTTTTTTAGGAAAAATGAAAACAGAGTGATCGTAAGAAACAGAAAAAGAGATAAATGAAATCGATAAAAACAAAGATTTAATAATTTGAAAAATCGTTAATTTGATCATCTCGCATATTTTAATTTAAAATATTTTACATATACGTATGAATCTTTGTTTACATCTCGTTTAAAGTTTTCATAATTGAAATTAAATTTAAATTTAATAAAATTTAAAACGATACCACGGTGAGAATTGTTGAGTATGTTTGTTGTACCTGAGTTGTTGAACTTGTCGAGCACAGTTAGCTAGTAAACTTGATGAAATATAATCACTTGATGGTAACAAGTTCAATGTTAAAGATGAAGATGCAACAGCAGCAGCAGCGGCAGCAGCAGCAGCAGCAACAGAAGCAGCAGAAGAAGCAGCCCCAAAAAGATGAAAATTTGATGAAGCAGGAGGAGCAGGCGCAGGAGTGATACCAGATGCACCACCAATTGTTGCTACACCATTCATCGACGGTGAAAACAAATCACCTGACCACCAGTTATTGCCTGTGATTGCCGACAAAAAATACAAACCTAAAATTTGATAATTTTCAAAAAGATTTTTTTTTGAAATATAAATTATGATCATAAATTAAATCAATTAAGCTATATATGGTAAGCTTTTAAAAATTTAGTTATTTCTATGTCATACAATGAATTCGGGTCAACAGATATGTTATAATTTGAGATAATTAAAGGTAAGTACAAATGAATCGAAATTACGTCACCAATTAATTAATTAGTTTAAACTAATTGGTGATAATTCAGATAAGTGCAAACAAAGTTGAAGAGCTAAGGAATACCATTTAAAACAACTATTTCATACTAATATTTAATGATAGTTTTAATATAATCAATATTGTAATATAAAAACTGAAAATGGTAGTAAAAATCAATTAAAAAATTTAACTAAAGTTTAAGCCTTAAAGTTTATAATTTAATATTTCATTCAAAGGAATGGTGAATCCCATCAATGATATGAACTATCTATTGATTACTTTAAAGTGTTTTATGAAGTTGACAGATTACAACAACATTTAACAGTCATTGTTGGGTAAATCAGATTGTGAAGTTATTGGATGTAACGTGAAAACGTGAAAAATTGCACACTCATAAATGGATTATGTGAGTTCGTATTTTATTGAACAACAAAAAGAAGAAAAAAAAATACTTCAATTAAGCAAAAAAAAAGATGATAAAGCTTACCGGAATTATCGCTCTCCGATCCAGTATCGTAACGGGCGTTGTCTTGGCCAGTAGTTGCTGCGGAATGCGATAAAAGCGGAAATGTTCGACGATAAGGATAATTGTGATTATGATTATAACTACGATGATGATTATGGTGATGATGCTGATGATGTTGATAATTAGAATAGTGATGCTGTTGTTGATGTTGATGACTCAGGGGTAAGCCGAGTAATGTTATCTCGGTTAGCAAGGTGGACAGGATTAAAATGAAATGGCAATAAGCCAACGATGCTGCTTGTTCCGTTTTGTTAAATTTTAAATATGATATCACAAAAATGTCTATTATGTAAATTTTTCTCAGATTATTATACAAATAAAATTTAGCTTTCGTTTCTAAAAGATAGCAAATTGAAAGCCACTGCAGTATTAGCAATGATATTAATCGAAACTGCAATAATACCTGTAGCAGTAATAATAGCAGTTGTAATAACAGATTTAATACTAACTATATTAATTGTTGTTTGCCTAGCAAAATGCCAACGATAATAATTGTTTTTAAAGTGGGCCTTACGGCCCCCAATAAAGTAAACAATTTGTTGATTCTATAATTTACCACAAACTGTTAATATTTTTGCAGAATTCCTCCGTCTTTTTTCTTCTCGTTATGAAACTTTTTCCGAATACTGTAGCAATAACAGTAATTATATTTGTAATCTTTCCGCTTATTTATTGTTCCGTGTAACAGCTTAAATATATTTGATTGGTCGTCAAATGTGATTGCAGCAGAAAATGAACAGTAATAATTCCGTATTGTACGATGAAATTGTTGTATTGAAGCCAGTATGAAATTTAAATTTGAATTTGATTTCCAAACACACACACACACCCTTCACGTCGGATGGATAACAACTCCTTGTTATGTATTCCTTACAGCTAAAAAACAAAAATGTACTTTTTTTTGAAAATATCATCTGATTTTTTATTATTTAAAAAAAATTATCGTGCGAAAACAAAAAGTGACGGAAGATTGTTCGCATTTTTTTCTGATAATGAAAGAAATTATAGAGAAAGATTGAATTTAAGTTTTATTAATTAACAATAAATAACTGATAAGTGATAGCTACCTAACAATGATTTATTTTGATGATGAAGAATCAAATAATTGGTAACAATAATAACAATAATAATGATAATGATAATAATAATAGTAATAATAATAATAATAATAATAATAATAATAATAATAATAATAATAATAA